AAAGGTGAACTAAACGCTGGCAGTTGAAAGCACAATTGGGGAAAAACTGCACACACTTTGTAGCCTTTAGTTCAGAAACAAAATTCTACACAGAAAACATGTTTGTCACACCAATCACGAAACATTTTAAAAAGCATAGCTTCTTATGCCTCCCCCAACCCCCAAATCCGCAAGAAGACCCTATAAACTGGTGTCAAGCGACAGCACACACACACACATTCTCCGACTGTCGACTGTGCCAACAGTGACATGTAACACACACTCTAGAGGAAGCTGTGATGATAGAGCCAGGCGCACTTTCCTAACCAGAATAGTGGAGAGCAATTGTAGGACTTTGAAACATAATATTCTTAGTTTAGTTTTAGAAGAGTTTTTACGGCTCTCGCAACTGCATAAGCCAAGGGGTGGATGTCAACCGAGAAGTCCCTACAGGGAATCAGACTTACTCTGCTCACCTCTCTGGCTTTAACAGCACAAAGTCTGCTTTGACTTTGAAAGCACCCCGGAAAAAGCGGGTCCCAAAAGTGTGACAAACATACAAAAGAAGTAGAGGAAATGACGATAGTAAGGATGAGGAAAGAAAAAGCAGCGGTTCCCTGTTGTAGATCAGGCACAGTTATGAGCGTGACATTGATGAACCAGCCCATTCACAATTCGACTGTGCATAAGAACATATTAATGTCCCCCCTTTGGGAATGGCCTAAAGTCACTTCAGTCAGTAGCACCGCCCCGAGGGGTTCGAGGAAGCTGTGATGATAGAGCCAGGTGCACTTTCCTAATCAGAATAGTGGAGCAATTGTAGGGTTTTGAAACATGTCTAATATTCATTCAGAAGAAAGTTTCTTTAGTAAGAGCTTCACGGTGTTTGCAACACAATTACTAGGTAGGCCATAGAAGTTCCGAAAATGTAAAGTGCTAGCAACTACAGGGAGAGAGAAACATAAAAAAGAAGAAGGGAAAAATAAGGATGGTGTCAGATGCTTCACGGGAAACAAACAGCAAACTCAAACCACACCACCAGAACACCCGCCAACCATCCACACATTCAAAGACTACGTTATTTCACTTATGAACGCCTTTTGCACTTCTAGGAGTTGAGTAAAACAGAAGAACATCGATACAATAATGGTCATTTGGTGCGGGGAAAAGATTAGACGGACAAACAGACAGAAACATATGAGGTAGAGTAAAGAAGTAGGACCTATCAGTGGCACCCTCCAACCACCCGCCGTCTAGGAACAGGGCCCCAGTCTCATCTCAATCTACACGAAAACAAAGCAAACAGAGACAAGCTGCTGTCTTTCTAAGATAGTAACACACTACACACGTGCAAATACACATTCACACCACTCACGATCAAATAAGAGCAGGCACACACACACACACACACACTACACACAACAAATACACATTCACACAACTTACAATCATCAATTAAGAGCAGGTACACATACACACATCCGCACACACACAAACCACAACACCCACAACTGCAAAACTCCAATCGTACACGCATGTCTACACACACACACAACTGCAAACGCCAATCGCGCACGTCACGTGCGCGCGCACACACACACACACACAAACAAACCACTTTTTCCAACATTCCTTGCCCCCACACAAGGCTTTCTGGAAGACTCCCCCACCACTGGTGGACGTTAACAAGTAACAGGTGTGGTATTTTATTATGCATTAACCGTAGCCAAAGATCGTACATAACAAGATAGTTCACTCGGCCAAAGATCGTACATAACAAGATAGTTCACTCGGCGCCAAAAAAAAGTGTCCGCGGAAGGCCGCACATTGCTTCAGATGGCGCTGCAGTCTTTGTTTTGAAGCTCTCTTTCGTTTCTCCAAAAGAAAAATAGGAATAGTACAGTTTTGTTAGCTTCACTTTTATTGTTTTTCACACAAGTAGGGCAAAGTCCGCACTTTTTCGAAGAGGGCGTCACCGAATTTTGAGGATACTTTTTTAATTGACTCCAAGAGAGGAGTGAACTATCTTGTCATACACGATCTTTGCTGTAGCATAACCCCCACCAATCAAAAATAGTTTTTTAGTTGGGAGTACGAGTTTTACAGCACTTGCAACACAATTAGGTCATATTAGTAAGTGCCGAATATTAAAGAGGAGTTACTAGAGAGTACCACTGGTATTACCAGAGAGTAGAACATATATACAAAGAAAGGAAGGCCACGAGACAAGGACAACAGATGTTTGAGGAGAAAGAAGAAGCAAACCAAACCTCACCAGAGCACCCTCCAACCCATTAAAATAGGG